ACATTCATAAAGATATACGTGTCATGTCAAAATAATTTATGCAATAACTACAAAATAATGGAGACTTTGTTAATAATCATAACATTAAGTAGGATATTAAGTACTTAAATTGTAAAGGCCGCTCATGTTATAAGCATTGCATGTAATGCATGTTATCTTAACGAAGTGATCTTTAATAATGTCGCATACACTTTCAAACAGATGAACCTATTATGTATATAGTCATCATTCATAGAATGGTTTGATCCCTTTTAAGCGTTTTCTCTATTTAAGTTCAATTGTTTAACACTGTTTTATTTTCTGAGAATTCAGAGAGTTCAATAAGTTTACAAAAGTAGGTTTTCCACAATTTCTTCTCGGTAGGTGTGTCTTTCTTTATGTTTCTATATGTGTCACAACACAATACAAAGATTCGGCGTCAATGATCTGACATTTGTGCTCCCGCTTCATTACAGTATGTTATTCCGATAGCGGAAGTCTAAGTCTGTGTGCCTATAATCTTAGTTATTCAATATCAAGCTGAAAGTAAGAATGAAATAACTTTAAAAAGGTTTCTCAGATAAAAGTAAAAATGCTTACTAACATTTTAATATCATGTTCATGGCTTTAAATGTTTTACTGACATGTAAATGTTGATTATGGTTAAATGAAGGTGTTCCATTTATTACAGTTAATTTGTTTGATTCCGAAATTCGAAAAAAAAGCAAGGGAAGAACAGTGTCATAAAGCATTGAATTCAAATAATTAATTTTGAAACGATCTAAAAACAAGAAATCGTGTAAATAAATTAAATATATAAAAAGGCATGCTAAAACCGTTTTTTACAATATTTAGAGTTCTTCTCAGTTAATTATTTAACGATTAATAGTAATGATTCGCGCAAATATCGGAAAATGGTTGAAATGAGCGTCTAGCCACACCTCAAATCTTATAACTCATATGATTTCTTACAAAGAAAAAGTTAATACTTAATACAATTTTTTTGTTTTAATAACAAATGATAACGAATCCGAGACCAAAATAACGGAATTTTCGTTAAAAACATATTGTTTGTTTAATCGATCATTATATGAACATAATTACCCGACTGATTAGGAATTAGCTGATGATATACTTTATATAAGAAAGGGCATAAAGATGAACCACCTATTTACAGACCATTGTCACTTATAAACTGAATTGGAAAAATCATGGAACGAATGTTTTAAAAACATTTTCTTGTTTTTCCAATATATTCCACTTTACTTCATTTAATAAGCATTTGTGACCACATTTGTAGCCTAAGATCTTTTGATACCAGGGAAACAATATTATTTTTTTCAAAAGCTTTGATATTGTTTGGATCAAAGATTTGATTTTTAAAATTAGACAATGTGGAATTTAAGAAATTTGATAAAGTGGTTAGAAAATTATCTACAAAATAAGAATCAAAAGGTTTTTGTAAATACATTTTTTCTTTATCAACAATGGGAATTTCCAAGGTTCGATTCTTGGGCCTATTTTATGTTCAATTACGTAAACGATAAAGTTGATACCCCGTTTAGTGTAACGATACTTTTTACAGACGACAGTTCACTAGCAGTAAAATCAAACGATATTTATACAATCAAAGAAAATCTTAACCAGACATGATTCCATTCAACTTGGTCTTAAACACGCAAATACAAAAGTTATGTTTTAACGGACGTCAATTGAAATCGACCCTATTTATATTTTGATAATGTTCAAATTAATTTTGTAGACCACCCTACACATCCAGGTGTCACATTTAGCAAATACGGTAACTGAAATGGATATTTCGTGAATATCGTTTCCTCTGTATGTAAAATAATTTATGTTCAATAAAATTAAACTGATAATGTTTAATGTTAAAAAAATACTATATTATATATGTTTCTATATTCACCCAAGAGTTAAATATGCGTCATTAATATGGGCTACATTTAAATAAATCACACAAGTGCATCGGATTCTTTTTTGTTTGTTTGTTGATAACGCTCTTCAAAACGCCTTGCTTTGCAAAATGTATATCAAAAAAAGAAAGAAAAATATATTGTGCAATGTAACAAGTTTCAAGATTGATTGTTTTGTCAGTTTCCTAACCACCTTTTACTAAAAACCAAATTTAAACGCTTCCATCGTGGCCATCAATATTTATTTATATCATCAAAGTTTATACAAGACAGTGCATTTACATTTAAAAGAAAGTAAAATACTTTCTGTTGGCAATATTCGTTTCAGCATTTTTAATTAGTTTTCGAAGACTTAATGAGGATTTTCACTGTTATTTTATGATACCAGATTTTTTTTGATTACGTCAGGAAATGAAAAAAAAAACTTTAATTTTCTGATAAGAGGAGGAAGCTAATTGGCATTAAATAGTGTTTCAGGAAGATTTCTGTTCCTTTGAATTCTCACTACAAACGATCTATTAATTGGTTGAAATAATGTTTGTCTATCGAGTTCAATAAATTAAGTAATGAACAATGTATTTTATTTATTACTTAATACCAAAACATAGAGACCGTTTAAATTTAAAAAGAATCATTTTCATTGGCTCGCCTATAGTATAACGCTAAAATTAAGCGCCTTTACACATGCGTTTGTATAACGTTATTAACGGCTTTTTTAAGTGACATTATGCCCATCCAATTGTAAATTCGTTGTGTTCAGGTTAACTGAAAATAACTTAAGTTTACATTTTGTCATTTTTGTTTTTAATTTTATAATAAACGTCACCCAAACAAACAATAAACCCTGTGACCCGCATATATTTCTGTTAGTGTCTGTCGAGAACTGCAAATATTTTTTTTCTGCTGTGATCTTACTGTGGTTTGTACTTTGCGTTATTTCGCAATAACCCAGGTGCAAATCCTGGTCACGGCACTTATATCGGCTACTAAGTAAAGAATGTACAACAAGTTGTGTCTTGTTTATACGTTTATTTAGAACTACTCAAGCTTCATAAAACAAAACATACAAAGTGACGTACTCTAACGTCAGGAATACGTACTTTCAAGTCATTTAACGATACAAAAATGAGCACAATTCCCGTCAGTATCCATTGGTATGTATCGGTAATGTTCAGTTTATACAAAGAGTGGTTTAGTTTTTTTATATTTTTAAACAGTTTTTATATTCTATCCTAAACTGTTCAGACAAGTTATCAAAAAAAAGTTACAATGGCCATTGAAATATCTTTAAATTTGAACTATAAAACTAATTCATCTCAGCTTGAAAATGAAAAATAAAAGCTAGCATAATATAAAGTATTGAAAAAGTTAGTTTTAAGGGAAGAATACTAATTAATAAAATTCAATTAAATAGTTAGATCAATCTAAAATGTATCTGATAAGAACAAGGGATAATAATCTTGAATCGAAACGTACAAATTGAAGACTCGATTTGATTGATTATATACAAATACGGCACAAAGAAATTTGTTACATTTCCCACGCCCTTCTGCATTTGCCTTAGCAGTTTTCAATTTTCAATACTAACACTTTTTGAATCAATGATCTCAAAGAACCAGAAATAAAATAAAAAAATAGAATATAACAATACTGAGATGCAATGCAGGGTAACTTTTCACAGTGTGTTTTGACAGTTTCAAGAATAATATTATGGATTTCTGTTTGAAATTGTGCTGTTCATAATAAATATTTTTACGAAAGCAAGAAAAAGGAGCGTTCCTTTTCTCTACTGAAACATAATACATAGCCCATGTTAAAATAAACAAAAACAAAAAACACTTGAATACATTTTCCATTGAGGCCTAGTATTGTATAAAAAAAACAGTCCGGATAGGCACATGTTCAAAGTGGTTATGTCAAAAATCATGTATAAAAAATTAGATTTCTTAAGTTTTTTCCCCAAAAAACTGTTAAAAAGTGTTAGACATTTTACAATAAAATATAAAAAATTACTAAATGTTTTAAGGAAGAAGTAAGCTATACATGTATATCTCCATTATTGAACAAATGATAAATTAAATCAGATATTACAAAATATATATTTTAAATATATAATTAATCATTCTCCTTGCCTTTTAACATTTATGTATTCATTTTCTGAAGAGTCCGCCACTGGCAAAAATGGTTAACAAATTGCTTACGAAGGACATATAAAATAATTTTGGGAAAAAAACTTAAGAAATCTAATTGTTTTATACATGATTTTTGACATAACCACTTTGAACATGTGCCTATCCGGATTGTTTTTTTTATACAATACTAGGCCTCAATGGAAAATGCATTCAAGTGTTTTTTTGTTTTTGTTTTTATTTTTTTAACATGATTTCTTTTTTACATTATTTCTGCCTTAATTGAGCCAATATGTTTTTAGAGATTTTTTCAGGTTTCTTTATATTATGTTATTCTTACACTTTTGTAGAAAAGCAACTTAAAGATCAACGAAGATCATTTTTTAGTCAATCTGTACCCAGAAATTCACAATGACAGATGAAATGTTAGCAATGTAAAGGAAAACGTTTTGTTATTCGTGTATATTTAAATTGACCAACAAACATGTTGTCGAATGCCTGCAAGGTTATATATTTGTAATATTTGAGTATCATAATATTATATAAATTGCAATCAAACAAACTTTCCCTTAAAGATATATTATCCTGGAATGTGATATTAAAAAATATTGATAATTGCTACACTGTCTCTTTGAAAATATAAAATAGACATGTTTTGACATCACACAAAGTAGATATGTTATGTTTAAAATTCTACACACTTTTATAGACAGTCACAATATGAATTGGCATTTCTTTAAAGAAAAGACCAACAAATTAGACATATTCAGTAAGAATTTCAAAGAATTCAATATTTGTTTGTGATTAAGATATTTCACTTAAGGATGAACATAGTATATCTTTAAGTAATCATTGATTAAATAATAATCATTGATTAAATAGAATGCAGAAAATACTGTATTTTCTAGATTAAAGAACACTTACGGGTTTGCTTACAAACTCCATTCTTATTTTTCAGCCTTCAAACTCTATATCAGAAGAAAATGAGCTAACAGAAGATCAACGGCGAGGTATGTAACTTCTATAGGTACTCTAATTAGGATATTACTGATTACAACTTAACAAATCAACACGATTAAACTGCATGCATCGTAAAGAATCCAAAGGAATATTAGTAATTAGTCATAAAAATATTCATGAATGTACTATTAATAAATGAACTTATTTATGAGAACTATTTGACGGAAATAAAATTGTTACTAATAATTTTATATCGGATGGAGCGGTATCTGTTTTTCCCCTGATATATATATATAAGACAAAACTAAACTCATGAATAGAAAAATAGTGCAAGGGCAGTATTAAAGTGCAGATATAAAGAAATAGTATAGGATCAGTACAATAGTGTGTTATATGACAAAGTATAGGGCTAGTAAAATGGTATAGATATAGATATATGGAAAAATATAGATCCAGTAATATAGTGTACATATATGACAAAGTATAGGGCCAGTACGATAGGATATATACAATATATATGACAAAGTATAGGGCTAGTACAATAGTATAGATATATGCAAAATAATGGCTAATACAATAGTGTAGACATATGACAAGATATAAGGCTAAAACAAGTACATTTGTATCAGGCAGATATGTGAAATATGTATAGCTTTAGTGCCATGAGGATAGAATATGGCCAGTACAATAAGACAGATATATGGGAATAGCCTAACGCATGTCTGCAAACTTGTTAGATATTTTAATGTTAACTCTTAAAAATATCACAAATAAAAAATACAGCCATAGAAAGTTCCAGAGCCATGTCAGTCAAGCAGTCTTTGGTGACATTATGTCTGTAAATCCGAGGATAATAAAAATATACTTTTGAATAATGAATGAAAAACTGAACTGAAAATCTTAAGATTGTGTATAAAATAGCATACCACTAGGTACACTTTGTGACACAATTGATAAATCTTTTGTACAATATTTCTACCATCTAAAGTTACGTGTCCAAACATTTCACATTTAAGTTATGATTAAATAGTAGTAAGACTATTGAAACACATAATTAGTTTGTTCCTAAAACATGATAATCATGGTATTTTCTGTTTCTTTTTAGAGCTCAGAAAAGCTTTTCTTATGTTTGAAAAAGGCGGAAAGAATAAAATGTCAGCTCGTGATCTTGGTGCTTTATTACGATGTTTGGGGTGGAATCCATCTGAACGAGAACTGGAGGAAGCTAAACACGAGCTTGTTGTCAGCTGTAAGTTGTTTGAAAGAATATGTACATTATATGATTTAAATATTGGTGATGAATACCATTACATACTGGAATGCGGTAGGAGAAGAAAATGTGTTAAAGGAATATTTATCCGCAACCCAAATATCATTACATTCAAAATAATTATAAATACAAGTACTAATACTCATATTGAATATAGATAATATTATTTTGTATATTTGTAAATAAAATCATTACCAAGCGTTATTAGAAACAACACAAACTTCTTTATGTCATTTTGACTTGTGACTTTAATAGAAATGCAGTTGATCCTCGGACTAAGGAACTTCTCCCGCATTTTACGTCTTGTTTGTATTGTATATGTGCTACATATGTCTCACTGTGTATTTGCATTGATATGTGCCTCGTAATGTCACGTTTATTAAATGAAAATAGAATTTTAGATACTCGTAGGTGATTTTAACATTTGACTATCGTAGTTGGCAATGTAAAAGTTGTCGCATGTAAATGGTAATTGGCATTTAAAAGATACCTTGCATTTTTGTCATATTCAATTGGACAGTTGTTTTTTTTAATTAGGTAAATAACGTTTGACATTTGTCTTGCGTTGTCTGTCATGTACATGTATATGATGCCAGTTTTGTAACGTAATATATACATCTAATTGAAAATTGCCTTGTGTTCTTTGAAATGCGTACGTGTCAGTTTTGAGTTGTCCTTTTAATACTCGTAAGGTAATATAAACAAGTTTTTATTAAATACTGTACTAGGTTGTTTGCTTATATAAGTTAAAGAGATCAGTTTTAAGTTACATTTAAATTATTCATGTTAACTTTGAACGTTGTCTTGTGTATTTTGTAATGTGTAACTTTTAAGATTCCAGAGGCTGTGGTAAAGAATTTCTTAATATATGTCAATCGACATTTTGTAATTATTATCAATTGTTTTGTTTCATATATAGTATATATGATACATAATTTTATTTCTGACACACTGTAAGACAAAATTGTGTTAACTGTCTTAAAAACGCAGCAAAATGAAGTTTTAAACATTTATACGGTCGTTGAAAAGCTCTCATACGTGCGTATGATTCACCAAAATACGTTCTCATTAGAAAAAATCACTTTAAGGCAATTAACACTACCGTCCATGAACAGGGTCAATCAAAGAGATCCTGCAACATTTTCAACTTTGACGTGTTGGGCTTTATCCAGAGATTCTGTTTTTCTCTTTCTCAATGTACAATAAACCTAAGCTACATTTATACCAAGCCAATTTTTCAAGAATTGATAATAACATATTATTAATTTAAGTTATATATATGTCCTTTTGAATTTATATGTTCGTCCTGATATATGTGTAAGAAATATACAAATTGAAAAGTTTTTTCTCAGTATGAATTATGTATTGCTGCTATTCTTTCAGCGCGTGGATCAGTCACATTTACAGAGATAGAAAGATTTATGGCTAGACGTGGTGGAATATTTTATGGATGTAAAGACAAAGAAGATATACAAGAAGCATTTCAGGTGAATAAATTTGAGATGTTTCGCCTGAAAATTATTCTGCTGGTTGTAATTCACCATGATATCTAGATAAAATATTTAAAGTACTGATAGAAAACGATAGGTTGAGGTCTGTGAAACCGTACGATTTTTCGTATACAACCTTTGTAAATTAACTTTCATATTTTTTGTAGGTGGTCCCATAAATTGTAATGAGATAAGGTTTACTTTGGGCAAGTTAAGTTGTGCTAAAAAAGATTTTTACACACTTTGCTCCTACTGCCTGTATTGATTGATTCGTAAAATACATTGACAAATGTGTACGTTCAAAGAGTTCTTTTCCTGTTTCGTAAATTTTAATGGTCTTCTATATTTCAGTTATTGTTTTGTTTATATCTTCGAATTTTGCTTTTCACTTTTTTGTTCATTATTTTAAATAAAGATAACGCGAATCATAACATTGAAGTAGTGTTCAAGTGATGGTGTTCGTTTTCATTTACAATAAAAAAAATGTGGCTCTTCTTTCGAAGGTCTTGGATGGCGACGGTGATGGAAAGATTTCAGTCGGCGACTTCCGATACTTTATGACAACGCTTGGAGAGAAAATGTCAGACGAAGAGGTGGAAGAAATGTTATCATCGGTGTATAAACGAAAACATGAAAACTTTGACAGTATTGAATACAACGGTAAAGTTAAATATAAGTTTCTATTGTTTGAAAAAGATAGTTTCTATGTGCATATATTTTAAAAGGACTCCACTGAGGTTTTTCTTCTCATTACATGACAGAAAATGCAATGTAAACTTTCTTGCATTGTTTTATAATAATTTGCTTCTTATATTCATTTTATAAGTACAAAATGACATAAACAAGAAAAGCGTTTAAATGCTTTGAACTCAAATTGGACTAAGAATCGCACAAAATTCTTTTTAAACTTAAATACTGTTTAAAGTGCCCCATTGGACATTAATCAAAATTTCCAATTTTATATTTTAGACCTTTGGACCCGCGGGGTATTTACCTATTTTGTTTAGTTTCTGATGGTTACCATTTTCAGAATTTCAAATCAAAACCTTGAATTTAAAATAGAATAAGGATTGTTATAAGAAAGTATTGTAAAATAACTGCCATGTATTTAACAATAAGGTTTGCAAAATGTTTAGGTGAATGCTTGGTTTATCTGACTATATATGGAAGTTTAGAAATAGTGGTACATTTTAAAAGCAAGTTGAAATTGGAATTGTCTCATATGTTGGCTAGAAATAAATTTAAAAAACTTATACATATGTAAAATGAATGTCATAGTCTTATGTTGATATGTTGTTTTGTAAATACAAATACATCAATTCCATAACATTATCCAGTGGTGTTTAGCCAAGTCAACATTTATATGTTAACCTATAGATGTCTAAAATCAAAATATTTGGTTATCAAAACAAGCTTACTCTTTTAAAAATGATTATGTAACATATGATGAAATCTGTCATGTTTTGCGGTTTGAATAGGTTAAGATCGGAATATCAGTCTCACGGATACCCGCCTATTGGGCGGGAACAAGGATTACCGAGATGCCGCCCATGATAACGTACCCAAGGGATGGCTATTCTGATCGGAACCGCATACGGGTCCATGTCAGATTTTTTTCTTGCATTCTTTACCATATTTCAAATGGCTTTAGCGGATAAAAATGATCATTTTATGAAAATTACCAGATTGTTTAATTTCATACAAAACTGCGAACTGACGTTATCTTGAGAACGCATTTTCGTTATAAAATGCTCAAAAATGTTTGCATATTTTAGCACTAACTTTGAGAGGTATATGTTTGTTGACTTCAATTATTACTTCATTTACAGTAATCAAAGTACTTTTTGTGAAGTTTAAAAAATTGAAGTACGTATTTTTATTTTTCAGATTTGATTGAAGGACTGGCAGAAGCTAGTTTAGATACGTGATGATGTCATAAGTAATGATACGGTTACATCATCAGTTATCATGTGACCCAGTGATGTATGGTCACGTGATGTTTTCACAAGGTGCACAATTTGTACAATCCACCACGAACAGCTCACACATTTCCTCTATGGCGCACAAATTAGACTAGACACCTATTTTTGTACTGACACAAATCATGTAAATAAATTCTTTTTTTGTAAGATGTATTTTCATAGAATAATTGTATAACATAGTTTTATAGAGAGGGTAAGCAATTCCTCTTAAGTTTGCAAGGTATTTATAGTATATATAATGATAATATATATCTCGCAATATGCATACATAATAATATGCATAAACAACTGATATCTAACCATATCAAACATTTGATCATGAAACTGTTTAAATGTTTCCAATTTGTTATATTTGTATCTAAGCAAAAGAAATGTTTGCAATATTCATATTGAACTAATGAAGGACGAAAATTGGCTTAAAGATGTTTTCTATGGGTACATATACATATATATCAAAGTGATAGGCAGAATGAAACCTGCATTATATACCTTTTTAACATTGCATTAACATAAGCATTTAAGCCAAAGAAAATTTGGTGTCACCCAGATCAATATTTAGCAATTACTATGTGTATATGTAACAATATAATTATTACGCCTTTTTAACAGTTGGGGAGGTTAACAATTACATACTAACGCGTAAAGTGCCAAACCTACTTGTTTGTTATGGCTTCTATGCAGAAACAAAATTATAGACGTCTGAATTTAAAATTAAAAGGGATTGGGGTAAACAGTCCGAAATCATAATTTGAGCCATGTCCATATTTTTCTGTTAATAAAAGACAAAATGGTAAAACCTATGTCAAATAACTTGACGGCATATTATCACTAAAATACAATAAAAAGAGTCAATGTCAAAATGAAAGGACCCTTATTAAAGTCAACAGCAAAAATGTAATTAACCATATAATTCATAGGTGAAATTTATTTACTCAAGTTTTACAAACTTTAAAGGCAATAATTGTCCGTATGTACTTACTCATACTTTCATTTATATTTTACTGTTAACATTATTACAGAAAATTATTACATAATGTACTTGTTGTAATTCACAAATGCTATAATTGATAATTTTATACCAAAGTAAAATAATTGACTATTTATTCATTATGCACATTTATCATTAAGCACTTGACATGTTTCATGCAATATGCATACCTTTGCACTTACCCAGATTTTAAACGTGTACATCTCCCATTTCTGGCAGCTTATTTCATGTTAAACGATCATTACCTGTATAACATTGAAAACTCTAGTTTGTTATTTTATTTGACAATAAAAAATGTATTTCAAAAAGCATGCGTCCATATGAGCCAAATTATTTCAAAGAAATTTTAATCTTCAGGAAAATGTATTTGATTATGAGAAAAGGAAACAGAATAAAGAATCAAGTCGATATGTATATTTTTATATGCGTTTGATGACTGATTTTGCAGTATTATTCATTATTTTTATACTGCGTGACGCAGTAAGGGCTTATTATGCATATTTAACCCCTTTTTGGTTATTAAATTTTTTACTTGGGTTGTATGTGCCGTTTTGCAATGTGTTAATTACTTTCTTTGGTCACTTCACAATATTCCTTATGTAAATATATTTTCAAAATTTTCATGAAAATTAGCATTAATGTTAGAGACATGCTGCTAAAAATACACTGAATTGCATTTTTAACAGAAATTATTCCCGATAAAAAAGGATCAAGTATCATATTTGATTAAAATTAACACATTTTACATAACCAACTACCGTCACTGTAGATACTGAAAATATTAATAACAACCAGAGAATAATGGAAAAAAATGAATCTGCTGAAAAGCAATATTTTGTTTCACTAGTTATTTTTTATATGTAAGCAATTCAGCAATTCATTTATTTATTGTTTTATTCATTAATCATAATCTCACCAATGTTCGATATAGAACATAAAACTATGGCCCAACAATAATAAGTTTAAAACGTATTGAAATAAACTATAAAATAATGAATTAACAATAGAAATACATATACAACAGTTGTTGTTTGACAGATATATTTATTTATAATACATTATTTATAATACATTAAACCCAAATTGTTCTAAAAGCATAATTATCAACTCATAACTGCTGCCAAAAAAGTGCAAGAGACCATTAATATTAAAACGAGTCAAATATGCCATATGATCACATCAAAGAAGAGCTTACGAGCAACTAATTAGCGACAACATTCCAGGGCATCAATTTAATACAAACAAAAAACGCTCCTTATTATCTACATTGTATCAAATTGATGTTTTCGTTCCTAAAATTGTGTTGCAAGAAAAAAACATTCAAGATTTAAATGGGTTGTTGGTTTGTAATGATCCCCACATT